TGGTCAGAGTTAAATATAGTGAACACCTCTTTCTATGCATAACTAATATAGCAGAATATCCATTTCATGATTCATTATCTGAACTACTGTGCATTCATATCGTTACAAACTAAGAAAATCACATTGTTTGATAAAGTAGTAATTAAGGATTTGAGTTCTGCTTTTTTTTTCCCCTCAAGGTAAAACCACAACTTTTTCTGAAAAGTTTATAGTTACTGTCCTCCTCATTGTGATGATAAATCCCAAATCTATAACATTTACCAAAACTGCAGAGATACCTTTACCAAAAAAGGGAAGAAAATGTTATTAGGGTTTTGGTAGGGTTTTTTTTTTTTCATTGTAGAGGAAAGAAGAATGATAACATCCCGATCAGTCTAATGTAACACATGTAGGTTACAATGACAAGACAGCTTGCTTCAGCCAGCCCGTACCAAGCCCATGTGAAATGAGGTCAGTGACTATTAATAATTTGTCAAAGACTGCAGGCCTTTATCTGCCAATTATAGATACAAGGAACTTTATATCACATTCACAAGTGGCAAAGCTACAAAGGACTTAAGCCACACTACAGCGGTGACACTTCTTACAGATAAAATATAAATCTAAACAAAATGCTGGCCTGAATAGCATCATATTTCCATTTAGCATTTTTAGTAAACACTTAATATCATCATTGGTTTTCCTTAGAATTTTAGGAACCTCGTATGCTTCTTAGTTTTAAGAGGTTTCTTTTTAATTCACAACAAAACCACTGATGGAATCTAATTTAAACACAAAAAATCCCACTGAAGAAGCAACTGACTTGCATAAACGGAGCAGACAAATCTAGCTTATTTTAAAAGTTAGCTACTGGACTGGCTCGAGAATGGTCCTGAATCCTACTGCTTCAGAGCAACTATAACATCCACTTTTCACAGCAAAATCTACGGATATAATAATCTCCATGGATGGAGGTCAGAGTGTCACAGAGAAGAACAAGACACTCGAAAGGGCTGATGGGAACCTGATAAAATGACATCTCATTGCTTCTTCAGATTCTTACTGGAATTTTGGGGCTGACAATCTACATCAACAGCTACAGATGGACTCTCAGTATCAGTAAGGAGGCTTAAGACTCCCCTCCTGTCCCCACATCGAGTCATGATCATCCATCAGGTGGGGCAAACTCCAAAACATAGGGTGGAATGAGCAGGGTACACTATATACTGACGCATACACACCCTTTCACATACCAGCCTGGCAAGCGTGAGCTTCCAGCACCGCAGGGAAGATACAGGTGGAGCTAACCAGGGAGTACAGATCTATTTACTCCTGGAATTCTGTACAGGTAACCCTGACCAAGCTCACAGTAGAGGCACAGACAATACTTCAAAAGATCATTTCATTGATTGATATACTAATTAACTTCTGCAGGTCCCCAGCCACCCTTGGAAAAGCTATCAGCCCCACATATATAGAGTAATTTCGGGAGGTTGTTGATTTTAGAGCTGTTAACATATGAAACCCACCAGTCACTAATAGGGACAACAAATTAAACTTCAGTTTAACAACTACTTTCATTTGTGAATGAAAAACAGGTTGATCATGCATTCTTTAGTTTGAGACGACTGATCAATAGACTTTCTCATAAAACGATGCCTATGTTTTATGTGCAGATCTTGCATTCTTGGCTATAGTCCAAATCAGGCAGACATTTACTATCATCAAATCTCTGTGCCCACAATTCACTATGGGAATAATTTTTATTTATTTTTAACATGCGGAATTATATGTCTGAGTAAAACCTAACTGAAAATTTGGCTGTGTACATTTTATATAAAATCACTTAAGGAAAATATACTTCTAGTGAAAGGATACTCAATGAAATGCTGAAATATGTGTATCCTACTTTTGTGTGATTTCTGGGGAGCAGCTGTTTGAACTTCAGAGGCACAAATTTTATTTGGTAGCTTGGGAAGAGCTGAGTAAGATGCCAACAGAGGATCTGGTGAAGCAATGCTTATAAAAATAGGTTTCTACTTATAAAAAACCTTCTCTCAAAGACAGAAAAATCAGCTTTTATCAGAAATAAATTTTCTGGAGAGCATCTGTAGAAGTTCAGAAAATCTATTTCATAAAATTAGGCTCAAGTGATCTTTTTCAGAGAGCAGATTTACATTTTGAAGTTCAGTAAGGCTGAAATTGGTCTAGAATATTTACTTTCTTTCAGCTCTTCCTTCAATGAAACTTCCAAACCTTCTATGACACACAAATATTTTGGAGCACAAACGCTTACTAAGTAGATACAGAGTACATAGCAATTTCCAGTCCCTGTACTGGAGGAAGAAGTAACAGATAGTTACAGCTTGCTATTTGGAGAAAAGAAAGCAATTCTGAAGTTCAGTTAGGACTATATAGCACAGCAGTCGGTGGGAAGTGCATAGCCAGGTCTTGAAACACTTCACATCATCTTGCTCTTCTGGCTTTGTAGCCTCTGCAGTTATCCTGTCTCCTTTCATTAACTGGCTCTATGCCTTGCAAAGTAGCATGATGTGGAGGTGATTGGTATTGCAGTGGCAATGTTCTTGGCAGACTTACGACCTTTACCCAGTGGAAACAATGGAAAATGAGTCTAGCTGGTTCTTTTTATTGACTGTATTTCCATTATCTTCACAGGTGCTTTCTTTCCTGGCTTGTTCTTTTATCTTATTATGGACAGAAGCTACATTTACTGGACAATAGCTGCCACATTGCTGTCTTTTCATTTCCCAGAAAATATCACTACTACACTTTTTATAGTTACTTGAGACCTGTCAAATTCTTTATCACCCTTTACAACAAGCTATTTGTTTTTTCAGTAACTGCATCACATGACTGTCTTCATACCATGCCATTTATACCCACTCATCTACATACAATATATCGATTTTTCAAATATTCTGTGTGTTCCCTTACATAGCTACAGTAGGCTTACAAAGACGTAGCCATTTTTCAGTTGCTTATACATTACTTGTTAATATTGGCTTTAAAAACAGTTTAGGAACTAAGTTATAGAATTACCATTAATTTTATCTCCCTCTCGTTTAGGTACACACCCTCTGTGAAAAACATTACAGAGTTTTCCATTATAAATGAAAGGTAACGATGTGAATAATGGTATTCAAGTCACATCATCTCCAGTTTTTATATCATGATGCAAACTGACCTCATAATTTTGTCATCTTCTGTATTTACAGCCCAATAATGCTTTTCTGGCAGTTCACAAGGGCTACTGAATTTATGAGGCACTTGCAAGTCAGGTATTTTACGAATACTTTGCCTGCATTTCTCGAAAATGATTTCTATAGAAATTTAAGTCTACTGTGTGTACTGGATTAAAATAGCATAAGAACTAAGTCATAATTTATACTATTTTGTTTTAAATTTTATTATATGGAATACAAGTTTTCATTGTTGATCATATTAACTTGATATGATGAAACGTTTTATTTTTACAGATAGTGGTGTTTATTCTGTTTTTCAGTATATAAAATGTACCAAGTACCAAATTGCTTTAGCACATGCATAAAAATAACTTAATAAAACCTGACTCAACCAATGTAGGGGCAAAAAGAAAACAAACAATGTAGCTTACACCAAAATACAGGCAATTCTAATGCTGTCTAAATTATGAAATATATTCTGGGATAAAAAGTCCTTAACAAAGTGTCAGTCACAAGGTACCTGATATCTTACTCTGTGGACTATAGTCAAGTGTCTCTGTCCACTTCAGCCATTGTAACAACTCATAAGGATAAAGATAGTTCCTTTGATAACTGGCAGCCAAAGCAGAGAGGTTTTCTACACCAACACGAGCACTTTGATTTACATGTGAAAGGGAACAGGAATCCAGGATTATACTTTAACTCCAGTAATATATTGTGTGCACTAGGAAACATATGGCTGCATGTTGCAATAACTGATGCATCTCGATGAACCTGCACAGTAAGTTTCATGGTGTTCACTTCATAAAATCTAACAAGATTATAAAAATGTGGATGGCAAGTGAGACAAGTCACTGAAAACATCTGTGTGATGAGAAATGCATATTATCCTACACAACTGACTGGTGGTGTGATACCATAAAACGTTTCAGAGTGTTGATAAAGAAGTTGTATCTGAAATGTCCTCTCCTCCTATCTCTCCCAACACACATACATTGTCTATTTAAAATTTGAACAGGCAAAATCCACATTAATATTGCCAAGTGAAAGTGAAACAGGACTACTTTTTAAAGTAAGTACACCTCTCATTCAGGCTGTTAAAAAAAATGACCAAGCGATGTTGGGGGTTCACAGGTACAAGGCAGTTCTGAAACTGAACAATTAATTTTGATTGCCTCAATTTGATTATTTCTCCCTAGCCACTCTCTCCCCTTGTCTTCAAATCCCTGTCATACGTTACATTAAAGTCACAAGGATTTTGTTGCTGATTCCAAACAAAGCAGATCAAGCTAAAAACTTGACAGCCAAAATATGTTGTAGACAGAATCCCTTTGAACTATCCCACAGTGTTGTAACAACCTCTCCTGACTGGGCTATCTATTGAAAAAACCTGTCTAAATAAGTAACGTTAAAATCTTTTGTAACAAATGGATTCCCTGACATCTCCACTCAGGTACAATATTCTAGTTCTAAGCCTTCAAAGCAGAAAGGGAGAGAAGGAGAAAGAAGCAAGTGAGTAGGAATGTATGTCAGATGAGGAACATTTGCTGAATCACACATCAAAGCAGGGGTAGGAGCAAGGCCTATGTCAGTTACTCTAAATACACAGTGGTACATCCAAAACATACAGAATTCAGTTCTGCCATTCAGGACAACACAGACATACTGCAGACAATGACTACAACAAGCAATAGTAAAACCCTCTGAGAGGAGGTTGCAATTGAAAAGAGATTTAAAATTAAATCAAAGAATGTCACATTTAATATTCAGAACACTCTAACTGAACCCTTACTACCTGGGCTGTAAATGGAATCTTACCGTGGGTTAGAATGAGAAAGTGGGCTCATCTCTTTCTGATAGTGATGCTCCTGACTGACGGGCTATGGAAAACAAAAAACAATAGTGAGAAAATAGCTTTGCAAATATTCTTTCAGAATGTTTAAAAACATGTGAGAGATCCTTTATGAGAACATATATTTGCAGCTTCTGATATTAGAATTTTACAGTCTTTTTTCTTATCTGTGAAATTTAAAAGGAATATTCAGATCCTAACTGTGCGAAAGTACAACTTAATAGATGATTCTTGCCTGGGTGGAAATATGTATGAATTACGGAGCTGACCACATGGTGATTTCCCTACTGCCTGTGAGAGCGTTGGGACAGAGTCAGGAAACAGGGAATGGTGACAAAGTCTTGTCTGACAGAAAAGCCTGGACTGTATGTGTATAGGCATCATGGTGCAGAAACTCTTAGTTGCATCTGTGTAGAACCAACCATTCTTAAGATCAGACAACACTGAGCCAGAGCTAACAGGGCTGGCAGGCATGGTTCCTCTCTCCTCAGAAGCACCACTAACAGTAATCTTAGCAGTCTCAAGTGAAGTTTGCTGAAGCACATATGCTTCTCTTTGGCATGGCCAATTTGAAATCTGGATTAAGTTGTTCATCATGAATAGCTAACGGTGGACTGTATAAATATTCATACAAAATACGATAATTTCCCACAGTCTTCAAGCTTAACTAGTCATTGTAAGAATGTGCCCCAAGAGTTTTAAACGGTATTTGGCTTCTGGCATTAAAACCAGTTATTTGCAAGAAAGATCAATATTCATAAAATGATATAAAAATTCCAGAATTCTAAAATTCAGAAATACATTTTCTCTCAGTATATACGTAGTGATTCCAGAAGGGATCCCCCCGCCATTATCACACACCTCAAAAGAAGTTCTAAACAAATCACTGAAGCAAATGCAAAACAAGTGAAAATACAATCATACATTAACAATACTCATACAATTTAGTTCCTGAAATCCTAAAAATAAATCCTAAGCATTATGAAAGCAATTGCTTTTTTACAGAAATCAATACAGAAATGAGTATGTTCTCATGGTTTCAGGAAGTGAAGAGAGATGTAAAATATATATTCAGGATGAATGACATCCTAATTACTGCCAAATATGAGTCACTGCCTGGTGGCGGATAGTGCAATTCCCAAATGATGGCTAGTGGAAGACTGAGGATGAGACAAAGTGAATTAGTCAGTCTACAAACTAGAGTATCTGTCTAAATAATTTTTAGTCTCATTTCATAGTAAAGGATAGTCTGCCTCAGTTTTGCAATTTGACTTGATGTGAACAGATCCCTCCAGGGGTTGTCAAACTGAGCTCTCTGTTGGAATAATTCTGGGTTTAAATATCACTTCTCTTGTCTGTCAGACTTCAGTTCTGCCAGGCCATTTTTGTGTTGAGTGGCTTTCTTTAATGAATCATCACAAAGGAGGCCAGAAGATCTTCCACAAATTAGGTATGAACCTGGAAGTACCCTTTCAGATATTTTGCAGATCAAGGCCTAGGTGACTGAATTTGTATTTAGGAAGCTGCCTGGGGAACAAGAAACATTCCTTCTCTGAGAGTAGTCCTTACTGGAAAGACAGGTCTTAGTGGTGAGCATATTTTGAGTCTGCTAATGGAGCATTATACCACTACAAGCTTCTAGGACATATCAATGAGTAATCTAGGAGAATCTTCCTTCTCCTTTGCATTTCTGACTGAGAATCAGTGACCATATGCAAGAACATATCCTGAATTCTCTTATATATGATCTTGCTCCGGAACGTTCGAGCTATATCTGAAGTTGTGTCTAAAGAGTGGAAACAGCTATCCAAGAAGCTGAGTGGCCCAATTCCCTGACAGGGCAGGAAGGTCTTACCGGATCTCCAGAACAAAGCAAGGCATTTAAGCAGAAATACTTTGTAAGCTTTGCCAATTTTTTTAGATAATGTGTATATGTGTGGGTACAAACTTCACATTATACTTTGCAATATATAGAACTGTCTTTCACATTGTTGCAAAGCTAACATGGAATTTCACAGACCTTAAGATCTAAGAAAACATTCAGGTAAGATACAGTCAAACAAAGTCTTAAAATATTTAGTTCTACACACACATATTATTGATTTGGAAGGGTGCCCCACACACGTTTTACAAGGGTTTACAATTCTTCTTCACAGTAAATCCCTTTTAAAGCAGAAGTTTTTCATGTTTATAACCGATAGCTATGGTGGGCAAGGTATAACATTAAAAGCTATTTTATTCCTTTTTGGTTGTCATAGTTTACAGTGGCTGCTAAACAACTTACATTTCAACGATTTCTCCTGACAGCATATATTCAGTTCTTGGTAAACTATCATAGGATGTAAAATAGAGTTCTAGTATATCTGTTTTATAGTTGTTTAAGGACATCTGTTTTAACTGCAACATAGCAATATGATTGATCTATGTGCCTTTACATTCAGAAGGGTTTCTGAGATTCATTAGCCAAACATGAGAATTTTCAATGAATCTGGAAATCAGACTAACAATGGCAAGTGACGGAAAAAATAAACTCACTAAAAATGTGTTCTATATATAAAATATTACTTTGATACGTAAGTTCACTATCTAACATGATTATATCCTGCCCTGCCTTGCAAAACATCCTAGGTGTTTCAAAAGGAAAGATACACAAAAAGCTGCCTTCTGGTGGTGCTGTTGCCATAGATTCCACTAAGGGACAAAAATGTTGTATAAGAGGAAAGAAAATTTGAAATAAAAATACTCCTTACTTATCTTTGAAGAACATAAGAGAAAGCAATACATACTACTGATTTAAATAATCAGAAAGATACAACCTGGAAACACATGTAAGCATGAAAGTTTAATCATGACAAGAATTTCAAGCTGTCCTTGAATTTCTCAAACTACAATATGAGGATTATTTCTACTTCTTTTTGATATACTGCATTGCTAAAATCATTTGCCTATGCAACTGGAAGACAGCTACAGATATAGATACAAACTTTTCCGCAGTTTGTACATCTGATTTTGGAAGGATTGATCATTTGCAAATTCTCTTGACTCAACTCAAACGACGGTGGTACTAAAGATCAGTGACATAAAAACATATTTGCTTTTATTTTACACTTATATTTTTTACATAATACATATATAAGGAATAAATACACACAGAAGAAACACTTCTTGGTAAAAAATAGAAGCTGAAGAAATGATGACTTTACTCATTTTAGGTCTTAGAGCAAGACCATGCATGAGAAAAGACTGATATCCAGCAGGAGCAACCTTTGAATGCGTTCCAATCACTCCAACTAGGCTGCATTTTGATCTCTCAGTTACGTAGACTCTCTATGCGTGCAGCAACATGTTTACTGCACATGTGAACACTATGTGTGGGGATTCATGGAAAACAGCTATATGAAATTATCTGACAGATTTATAGATTTGAAAGTCAGAGGGAAGAATTACATCTCATGATCAGACGTATATCACAGGCTATTAAACCGCAGACCACTAATAAAAGACACTGAACAACATCAGATCGAGAACTGAATGAACCATGAAGTGGGTCCCTCTGAATATTTGTCAGTTGACCGGTTCTAAATTCATTCAAGGTGTGCTTTATCAATATATATGCTGCTCATTTTTAAATGAATATTTATAATGGTCTTAGCATGTTACATCTAAGCAATTCCGTTATGAATTGTAACTTTACCAATAAAATTAGATTTTTTGATCAGGATGTCTTTTCTATAAAATGGTGTTGACTATCATTAAGCATATTATCATCCTTTACATCTCTCTTAACTGAATCCCACACCAGATTTTTCACCGTTCTGACAATGATATGAGACTAACTGGCCTACATTAACTTTTTTATTTCAGCACAGCATCGCTTCTCTCAAAGTCTTCTGAAATGTTGTAAGCGTATAAAAATATACTAAAATTTAACACCAGCATATCAAAAATGCCCCCAACTGCTCTTTTAAAAAGCTTCTGTGTTAATCAATTTGGGATAATTAAATGACCACCTTCCCTAATAAATGTTGTTTATAACCTTATTAGATACTAAAGGTCTAGAAAATGAATTATCACCCTCACATGACTACTCTGCATTTTTCCAAATACTGGAACAGAATTACACCAAGCAGTGTTAAAAACTCAAGTCCACACTACAAAATCTTGTACCACATCTATGAAGAGCTGGTGCTGTGACAGCTATCTCAGAAAGGAAAATATGAAGTGAACCCATAGATACTGTGGACTAACAGACACTGTACTGGTACAGAGTCTCGTTGCGTAAAGGCAGAGGTATACGCGTAGGGAAGATCACGGAAGTTGAATTCCAGCAGTCTCTGTTGTAGCAAGGGACCAAGTGGTTAGTCCTTATCTGAGAAAGATTAGGTTTGCTTTCTGAATTACCTCTTCTGGAAATGAGGGTCTTGCTATTAAATCTTAAAACCTCAATGCCCACATTGGAAAAAGCAGAGGAGAAACGTGACAAGGCTGTATGTGTAAGACACACCAACACTTCATTCAACTGAATGAAATTTGAAAAAGTTCTCTTTCAAAGACAAATATGTTGCCTTTTACGCTTGATTTATGTAGAGAAAGACAGCCACAAAGGACTGTTACGTAAAACTACAGCTATACTAGACTACAGTTTAAATGACTAACTTATTATATCTAAACACTTTTTTAGATTGATGCTATTAGTCTGAAGCTACAGAAGCTGATCAAGGCAGTAAGATCAAAGAACTGTCTTTGCAATCACATTGTGCTTCACTGAATACTGGAGCAGTACATTTCACTTGAAAAGTTCACTTTGTTTTAGTCATGCAATTTGTATTAACCAAACCTGACGTGTCTAAACCTTCTTATCAATTTCCTTATAATTCAACTACTCAAAAATTAATGAGACTGCTATTCTCTCTACTTAATCGACTTCCATTTGTCCAGTCTTGCAGATTTACACCATGTTTGAGTCTATTTAGCGAGTACTGAAAAAATGCATCGGAAATATGATGAAATCAACTGAATGTGTAACGCTGACGTAACTCAAATAGTTAAAATCAACTAATGTTTCTCTGATACCCTGCAAAATATTACCCTGTAAACCAAGTTCTTACTTGTACAATTACCCATTTATTGATATATCTCCTCTCATTAGAAACCTTCATTCACCAGTGTACCACAAAAGTTCCAATGCTGTGTTGATCGTTCACTACAGAAGATTGGTACTACAGGCCTTTGTTTGAGCCCTATAAATCCCTGGAGATAATTTGCACCTAACATATTACAGCATTTACCCTACAATAGTTTATAATGGGGCAACACAGCAGTGTTTACTCTTCTAACATGGGATCTGCCTCTGAGAGTTGTGTTCTGTGCTTTACTTAAGCCATATTCACTGTTTATTATTGTTTCACCTATAAAATAAGAATTATGTTGCTGAGATATAAATGCAGTATGAGATTATCTAGTTTTACAGCAGCTCCTGCAAGCACCTTTATATAGTTGCTGAAATGTTATTCTGTGATTTCATACATGACAAATACTCCCCTGCTTCTTCTAACAGTACTCTGTCACATAGTGCAGCTGTGTGTGATTTTGTACCACTTTGTACCAGGACAAATAATGATACAAGGTGTAAAATACAGAAGGATCACATATTAAGTGCTCAGAACTACTGCAGATTTTTGCTGCTGTTCTCCTGCTTCAGTCCTTTAAACAATTAGCTTTTCAGTAATGAAACTTTATCATTGTAAGAAGCAATTATTTTCCATTACTCACACTGTAACGCAGCCGCTGACTGGTATATCTGGGTTTCATTCATTCTGGAACTATTTTAAAGTACTATATCACACACCTGCAGGTTGTCAGCCACTATTGTGACAAGTTGTACAGCCTATGTGATTATTCAGGATTCTAGGAAAGAATATATATAAATAGATTTGCTCTTTGTCCATGTTGGTACTACAGAACCTGCTGGAAGTGCACGTGTTTTGGTTGCGTGTTTCACTCCATGAGTTCTAAAAAATGTTTGGCAAAGATACCTTAAATTTCAAAGCTACTCAAAGGAATTTTAAAATTCAAGACCCCTGAGTCTCAGAATTGATAGAAATGATATAGAGAAAATACTTTGGGGATTTAGACTTACTGGTGGCAAACAAGAGTTCCAGGTTGCTGTATCATCACTGCTTGTACTTATGTTAACGTTGCAGTTGTCTATCTGGGATGCGCTCAGCCCGTGTGAGATCCCAGTATCCCTTAATTCTTCATTTTGTTGTCTCTTCATGCTAGCCAGCATCTGTAGTTCAGATGAACTCAGTTTATTTGACTGGTAGTTTTTCCATTCATACTCCTGTGAAATAAAATGGAAAAGTCAATGATATACACAGGATCATGGAACAGAATACATGGATGAAACAGACACTCTGGAGAACCTCTTGGGGAATCTTCAAGAAGCTACAACACTAAAAAAGAAACAAAATGTTTACTAGAAAAGATTAGTTAACAGATTTCTGTTCAGCTATGAAGGTCAAACATATTTACACATAATTACAGGAAAGAAGAATGTCACAAACACTGCTACGGATTGTAGTTTGGATCCAGGGTGTTTGGTGATGTTGCTGTTCCACTGCAATTAAAAATAGAAGATAAAGGTAAGCCTTCAAAAGTTAAAAAATCCAGCAGCTAAAATTGCTTAAGCATTAAATGCAAATCCTGAAATAAACCCAGTCACACAGTTATCATAGTATCATAAACACCATCAACATGACATTTAGTTATTCATAAAGCACAGCATAAAATTTCTCTGTAAAGGTATACACATCAGCTCTAAATTCTAAGTTATTTTGGTAACTTGCTAGCTTACACATTTAAAAAAACCACATCCCTATATTTTAATTTTTCTGTATATTCATTGTTGAATTCTTAATGTAACTCTAATTTTTGTATCAAACTTCATCCATAAGCTAAAAACATCTATTATTTTGCAATTTGTACCTACGCCTTACACAACCTCATAAGATTGGCTGAGTTCCCCTAACCTGCTGTGGCATCATCTTTGTTTAAAGAACTCCTCCTTAAAGAAAAACTTTCCCTTTTTAAAGGGTGCACGTAGATTGCTATTTCACAAAAGAACAGGTCTAATATTTGAGGCCTCTAGTTTTGGTTCTGAATGGAATTACAAAGCATCTCTGCTTGAAAAGTGAATCCAAGTAGAGACCAGGATTTAGATCACTGGAATACGGCCAGTGGGCTGCAAGACACTATGTAACAGTATCCCAAAGAGAGACAGTGCTTTGATTTTAGTGAAGAGAAGGGGGCTTTTAGACCAGGAGTTCATCACATTCCTGGCAGAAGGAGGAATCTTAGTCTGTTCTACCGTGGGGAGATACGGGGTAACTGAAGACCTCAAGAACACAAGCAAGCCAGTGGCACCAGTGACATGAAAATTGCTAGCTCCTCCTGCTATGAAATCCAGTGTGTAAAGTTTCAGTGTGTCTTCTGGGGGTACAAAAGTCATCCTACCACCAGAAGAAGCACTGAAATATTACACATTGGAATTATTATTACAACCTCTCCTGTCTTCTTCCTCTGTATACAACACACATATAAGTGTCTTCAGTGTGGATTATAATATGAATTGGTCACACCTGAGACACAGGAAATCTTGAACTGCAGCTTTATCTTAGTAAGACAAATAGTACAGCAAGGTTCAATACTTTCAGGCTATCATATCACACAAACATGACATTCGGTTTTAAAAACACTCATGAATATATGCAAATGATTAATAAAATATTATACAGGTTCAATTATTCAGCTCCACAGAGGTATGATGCATACAGCTCACAAAAGATGTTATACCTTGGACATTGAATTCCTTATTTTAAGGAAATAATGCAAAAAGATATGTATATATCCTAGATTTTCATGTATACCACTAAGTAGTTCACATGCAAAATGCTCACTTTCACTAGGAAAGATTATATGACACCACTGCTGAAAAAACGTTATTTTCAGTGACACAGTACTTTTTTCTGGTTTAGGGAGTTCCATATACCTTAATAAAACTGTATTTTCTGGGAATCAGAAAAGCATTATTGTCCATTTGAGCCCCTTCCCTGCCAGCCTTTTTTGTCCTTAGGATCAGAGCAAAGCCAGACAATGAAGGCTGCCATATTACTTATTTCCCCTTTAGAAGTTTAACTGGGGATACACTCACAGAGTCATTCACAGTGCTGAACTCCAAGCATAGGATGTGCAATACAATGCACATTGGAAGGGAACTAGGATCAAGGACAGATGGAGACACCTTTCCTTTTTAATAATACATGTAATGCCGTCATGCAATGAACAGAATCTTGATTTCAGTTCAAGCTCTAGAATATTTTACTACATATTTGCAAAAATAGTTTTAGAATAAAAACATGTAACATATTTTTATTTCCTCATGGCTGCCATAAAATAAATCAACAGTTATTATCTCAATAGTATGTAAAATACTACTTCCTATTTTAATTCTAGCTAAGAAATTAAGTACTATTCATTAAAGATTGCTGCCCAACATTAGGTTTTGGCAGTAGCAACTCTATCACATATTTTTGATGTTTCATTCTGACTACCATGATACTAGATTTCACTTAAAGCCATCTATTGCAAATAATGTGTCAAAAAGAAAATTAGCACTGAAATAACAAAGTAAACCACCTTTGATGGGAAGTGCACCTGCAAGCTGACAATCAGTGGTAACTGTAACATAAAACAGGATTTATGACTGAAGGGCACTCACATGGAAACAGCTGCATGTGCAAGTACGCAAATCTTTGTGAAAAAGACAATTTAAAACCTATTGGAAATATTCTTGATTTTTTACTATGTATCTCAAATCCTTAGGTTAAATGTCTTTGCAAAGATTTTTTCTATGGAATCATCTCAAGCACTCAGAGGCTACTTTTTGGCACAGATAAATGTAGTCTGCCATTCTGTACAAGGTATAAGAAGATAACAGAAGCTGTCAGCACAGGTGCCACCCCTCTTTTTCCTCTGGCTTTTAAGGTCCAAGCTTTGTTGCTGAATAATGTGATTATTACTACCATTTTTAATCCTAAAATAATACATGATGTTTTCTCTAGACTCTTTCTGAACGTAAGTTACTAGCCCAGTTACTATTAGTTATTTATTCACTTCATACAAAGCTTGCTATGCTGCATCTGGAAAAGTCTTTGCTCTGATGTATTAGTATTCTACGAGATCTACAGCTGCTATAACTTTTATTGATCTTACTGAAGATGCTGATTTCCTGTTAATTTTCCTATATAGAAGCCATCTGCATTTATTTGTTTATTATAAGAGAAGCTTCGGCTTATCTTTCTTACCTCATATACAAAGCAATTGGCATGTAGTCATTAAAATGAGCATGAACTAGTGCTATGCAGAATAAAAGCACGAAGCATTGAAAGAACATTTTTCTCATTCTCAAAAAGAGAAAGGCAAAACATTGCCCAACTCTGCTTGTCTTTTCCTTAACATCTATGAAGACAGATATATAGATTTTTGGAATTTTGACAATACAACTCAAAACACCATCCCCCCCTCCCAGCTTATTTCAAATTGTCATTCTGTTTTCTGTTCTTGTAATGGTCTCACTCTAGAAATACCATACTCAGAAAGGAGAACAGATCTCACAACAATTTTCTGTCTTTAACATCCTGTACAATAAACTCCTTGTAATAAAGTAGAAATAGTTTGGACTATTTATTATGTAGCTGCAGATGATACTACAAAAAAAGTCTCTTCACAAATTTTATATTGTCTTAGTCAATTTTCAAAGAGAGAATTTTAAAATTGAATTTGAGATTAAGTTAACTTTCTAATTTAAGAGAAACTTTTGATGTAAGAAGTAATTTTGCAATACTCATAAATTTGTCTAAAATTAATATTTCATATAGTAATTAAAAGCTTATCTTGTCTTTTTGCATATCCTCCTGTTATGATAAAGTATTTTTATTAAGCACTTAAAACTTTTGCTAGATTGACAAAACCTGTTGTTTAAAGGATTTTTTCATATATAATGACATTTGCATTCTTCTAGGTTCAAATGATTTATTCAGAATTGTTTGAATGTAGTTATACGTGCAGAAAACTTTAATTACCAGCTATCTACATGCTTGCAATATTACCCAGAGGGCTGTACTTCTTTCTTAATTAAAAATATTTGAACTTAATAATAGAGAACTCTATTAAAACATGAATAAAACATTGCAAGCAACCAGGTCCTTAAAGCGTATTAAATAGTTAGCAAATCGATTGCAGGAAGAATTGGTTAAGCGTTTTTTCTTTACAAGTCCTCTGTATGAGCAGATTAGAAGAGACTACTTCCCTGTAAACTCTCACTCTAATACCCTTTTATACAAAACTATCCTTCCTTATATAGTTCTTAAAACAAAGAACAGTGTTTCAAAATGCAAATAAAGTAATTACAGGCCCACAGCCAACTAAAAACCTCCAGTGCTGTCTCACTGTAGTTAACAATATTATATGTCAGCACTTCTTTTCTTGAAACTTCTGAGGACCTAGAATACTAGTTTCTTCCTGCCAAACTGGCCCAGTAGATACAAAAAAAGCTTTAAATATGTATGTGGACAGAAACAGGCCACAATCAAATAGCTTATTATAATAATTTTAAAATTATTGGAAATCTTCTTAATAAAAATTAATAAATATATCTGACTTTATTCTAAGGTGAAGGTAAGGTAAGTCCTAGGTGAACACACTTTCTAATATAAACCATCACTGTTTAAAAGGCAGTCAGTGGCACTCAAATTTGGCTTCAAATTTTGATCGTGGCTTAGTAGAAAAGAAGTATTAAAGAACTCTAAGGAAAGGCTTCTAGATGGGAAAATTTTATTACTTGATCAAATCAAGTATGAGAGCTAAATCTACCAGACACTTTCATTTTATATTTAGTAGCAATAAAACAAAGTCTGTCACTCCTGAGTTTCTATACATTGATAATAGGTTTTGTCCTTGCAAAAAATACTTACAAGCAACAAATTACATGTGCAATACATTCTCAGCTACAAGTGCAATATGATAATAGTCTAATTTAATAATCAACTATTTATAAGCAGAGGGAAAAATGATAGCTTTTTTCCTTCATCTTTCTAAAAATTATCACAAAAAAAGTTGTAAAATATATCTAACACTTTAGAAACTTAATTGCAATCCACCTAGGTCATCTATGCTTAGTTACATTCTACAGGACAAAGTTGATCATTGCATTAAACACTGATAACATCTTTTAGGGAAGTAATCAACATATCATTTCATTTGTTATGGACAAATAGATTACAGTTACGATTAGTAATAAACATAGTTGAATTTCAAGTGCAACAATTTTTGAAAAACTGAAAAGAATCAGGAAGGGAGGAAGGCATTTAATCACAAAAATGAATAGTTACTGGAAACTAGAAAAAGTAAATTCCTATAGATAAAACTAGGAAAAGGGAATGTAAAATGTAAAAAAAAATTATTATACAGTTACAGACAGATACATTCTTCCAGATTTTCTACATCACTAGTGGCAACTCTAATGTCTTTTCCAGATAACAAATACCTAGAACATATGCTGCTATTGGTAGGATTTTCTCTGTTTTTTAAAAATTTGTCTTTATTGTCTTTAAGATCACCAGCCACTGATATTTTTCATCACCAAAAGGTCTCAGCACTGCTTCTGATTTTCATCCGCGTTACTGTATTTCATTCCCCTTGCTTCCCCTCAGTCTGCTTCCTTCCCAACGGAAACCGGTCTCCACTCCCTTCATGGAAAAGGATGTTCTATTTTTATCAGGAAAAGTGCAAGGCCTTTACACAATCCAATAAGCTACCCGCAGAACACAGGAAGAGATTTCTAGAACCCTCAGTCAGAGAGACTGTATTTCCAGTCAGAGAGACTGTATTTCCATAAGAAGAATTCAGGAAGAAAAAACTAGGAATAAAACATCATTTTGGTGAACGTAACGATTCCTTTAGTATCCTGACAATTCAGCCTATGACACAGGCTCACTGCTGGCCCTCAATCACATAATTTATTATTTTTCAGGGCTGCTGCAGAGAGACTATGAAGTACTTAGATTAATGCTCTTTCTATGGTCACTCGTTAATATATAAATTCAAAGTCTGTCAATTTTCCTTTGTAATCTTTCAGCCCCAAACTACTTTCTAATTCACATATTTCCAAAATGTGAGTTGCTCAATAACACCTCTTTTTATCTATAAACCTCTGTGATTTGGAGTTTTTATTTGGAGTACTCTTGTGTGTGCCACAAAAAACACAAAATCAGCTTTCAACAGACTGAGCTCAGTAAATACTGTTCTGATGAAGCCAGAATATATCTGGATGAAAGACGTATTATTTCACACTTCATTCAAATGGGTATATCTGACATAGCTTCTCTGTACAATCTAATAATTTAATTTCAAAGTAAAAATCACTTACGCAAGTCTCTGTTGTCAGACATGAATTTTCTCTTGAGATTTTCTTGAGAGACTTTTTACTGATGGATCTTTTTAATTGACTAGAAACTCCTTCATATCTTTCAGATCCATTTGGAATTATTTTAGAGAATACAGATTTGCTTCCAGTTGGAGAAAGAGAAAGGGTAGGCTTTATGCTTCTCTGAGAGCTAATAGAATCTGGCTTTCTCACAGTGGAACTCTGTGGTTTTGATGAGATGGTCTCTTCGAGGTTATGTTTGCTGTGTCCCTTTTTCTTCCAGTATTCATTTTTCCATGACATCCTCTTTAATGGAATCTCTTTAAGAACTGCTGAATCAGATGTTTCCTGCCTGCTGTGGCTGATCTCAAGGTTCTCAGAATCCTGGATGAATACATTGTCATCATCCTAAATATAGGAAACAAAGCAAAAGCGATTCCCTCTCATCATAACACAATACAGTCTTACATAACCTTAAAATTTCAAAATGGCTCTTTAATTTCTGCTGCCAATTTCTAAATTCGCAAGGGTTCTGAAAACCAGCTGCGCTTCCTGGCAAATACACTGAGTGCACCATAAACATATTCTAACATCTCAAGTAGTGAAAAGTAGAAAGTAGAGGAGAGGGAGACAAGATTACAATTTTCAAAATGTTGGCCCAAATTTAGAATGCTGGTAACCTCCCAAAACTATGTATTACATGATAATCATAATCTCAATAAAATTAATTACAACTGTACAATCAAAAGTAAGCAAAAAGTCCATGACAATGACGTCTATTAATATTCCATATTTTCACATCGCATTTTCAAATTAAAAATAGAAGAAATAACTCCTGCTGAGATCACTTTGCTCACCTCTGGTAATATTGAGTATCATATTCAGTACCATTTGAGTATCATTTCAAAATTTTGAAGATTAGTTTGTTAACCTCCATGAACCATGTTCATGCTTCTAACAGAGTGTATGCAAAATACCGCATGACTCAAATATATGATCTTCACTCATATCCCGTCTCAACAACAAACAGCAAGTCTGCACACATGGAAAGAAAAAGGGGAAGCACATCTAGTGTTTGCCTCAATGTTCTTATACTCAAGGAAGAAAAGATGAGAGAGTCCTCATCTTCATCTCATCATGCTGGTTCTCTGCCATATGCTACCAGACTGGATATAAGGCAGTATGTACTCAAGGAAGAAAGGATGAGAGAGTCCTCATATGCTACCAGACTGGATATAAGGCAGTATGCATTGCAAGACTCAATAAGATACTGAGGTACCATCTTTCAGATGGTGCAGTCCTACTGCAAATGAAAGTGATCCAAGTTTGTTACTGACTTCAGTGAGTCCAGGACTGGACTATACAGAATGAAATGTACATTTGGGAAAGCCCTCCCTCAATTTTATTAATAATACATCTTTTGGAAGTTTATAGTTTTATTCCAGCATTTTATTTTATAAGTTATTTCCTTGAAACACAAATCTGTATTTCCCTTTTTTTAATGTATTTTTATTTGCCATAAGTTATTTTAAAATCTGTGCTAGAAACCCACACTAAGGTAGGTTAACTTAAGATGGAAGACTACTAAAGAAAACACGCTTTCCCACACATCTGAGATAACTTTGGATAACTTTGATTTATGTGAAGCTTAAATCCCTCTCAATTTTCCATGTCTCTTCAGCCATATATATTTAGGTTCTAGAACAATTTGTTAAACACTAAATCATGAAATGGTGCCAGAAACATCAGTAAAGTTTGCTCAATTAATGTAGTGCAGCATATGTAAACTGAACATGAGGATGATTTTGCTGAGGAATGAACACTTCCACTGATGTATTCCTTGAAAGAACATGCAGATGGGCAGTTCTGGATACATAAAATTGATTGCTCTTGCTGGGTTTTAATTTTAAGAAGATTGTTCTAATGACTCTAGAGGGTCACCTACTAGGAGCAGATGGGATCCAGATCCCTTTGTATGCTGAGCTTTAACACTGAGGTATCAGAGTGAAACTATTTGTAAGGGTACATTATCTTATTTAATTTTATTCCTTTACTCTTTGAATTCTATAAGGATAGAAAAATTCTCAAATTCTTCATTGAAGGCTTCACCAATGAACTTGCCTGTTACACTTACACCAGCGTTTTTGATAGCACTATGTGATGTGTGTTCACATCTGTCACAGTCACACAATTCTTGCAATCAGCAAGTGTTCTTGGTTTCGCTCTGGGTTTGACAGAATCTGTAAATGCTGCCGTGACAAGTTTAATTACACAAAGTCTCTGGTAGAAATTTGGGCTGAAAGCATGGCTTCATATAATGACAAAATAAGTCACTCGATGGTGAATGGTTCCAAGAGAAGAAACAATTTTTTATCCTTTACTGGTTCTTTGACTCTGATAATTGAATAACAGCATTGAACTATTTCAGGGACTAATTATTAACTACTAAAGGAAATTTATAAATATTTGCTGTTTTCAGCTTGCAGGCTGAAACATTTCTTCCCTAAAAGACAAAAGTTGCATAAACCATAAAATTCTAGCACAGTTATTGTGCATATTTTATGGCTCTCAGCATATGCAACATAAAGACAGTCAATATTCACTTAGTTGAAATTTATCCTGATACATAACCTGTCTCTTATGTTTTACAATTAAGTGAACATTTTTTGTAGAGAATACTGATTATCCAGATTTAATAAAAAAGGATATAATTCTCCTTTGCAGCTCCATTAACTTCAAATGCAGACTAGGATGAAACTGGGATTTAGCCCCTTTAATTGTAATTTTTTAATTCATGATGCTGTGACATAAACCCAAGGAAAACTTTTAGAACTTTTGGACTTTTTACCAGTCTGAAAAATTTAAAATACAAAGATACACAAAATCTGGTGGTTTTTTTTTGATAAAACTAAGTTTTACTTATATATTCAATGAGAATGGCAGTTTATGCTCACATGCAATTATTTAAATTGTAAGTTGAGATATCTACCTTATTTGAGCACGTACAAGAGCATGTACATATCCATGTGTACTATACACAAACATAATGTATTTGAATTTCAAAGAAAGCTGTAATACAATAATGAGAAACAAAAAATAGTGTGAAAGCCTGTATCAGTGTAGCTTATTTCAGCACGTAATATTAACATATATTTTTAAAAAGCACTGCAAGATTCAGTACAACTTAGTCAAATAAATATTTTGTCATATAGGTGAAGCAAACTGGGAAACATGTTATGGTTAGGCTAAGGAATTGTGGTAATTCTGCAAAGATACCTTCAACTGTGCTAAATAGATGCTAAGTCAGCAGTCATATGTTCAGCTATCACAGCCTTTCCAGGATCCTCTTTCCTGTATTTTCAGTCCTTGAAATAAAACTGTTTTCTAGTTTACTTCAGTAAGGCAAAGTAGAGCAATCTGAATATTAAATGTGCCTCCAGACTATCAGTATAAAGCTGACTTCAAGAAGCAACACAGAACGTATTTGTACAAGGAAGAGGATGAATATAGGCAAAATATGACTGCTAAGTAATTTGTTGGTTCAGTGACTTCTTTCACATGAAAGAAAGACTTAACTATGAATTACTAATGTAGCAGTTAAGACTAGAAAAAAACTGTTGATAATTTGTTAGCATGCTGTAGATTTGTTTAATGTAATTATCTCCTAGCTTTGTAAGTCTAATGCATTTCCAGCTGCAGTGCTGACACTATTCAATGCAGTTTGCATCCAAAGATAATGGAGGAAACAAAAGCTGTTCTCTAGCACACCTCTGGCACATAGTCAAAGAAAAGTTTTTAGTTTATATAATACCTTAAATCTTTTAAAAGAAGATAGAGATCTTCTATCAGTCTCTCTTGCATCAACTTTCTAGAACGGCTATTAATGTGGCATCCCAATGTTTGGGCTGTAAAAGCCACAGTACTTGGCTACAGCTTGCTTTGTGCACTTGGCACTGGATCTCTGGTTTAGGACAATGGCATGGGAGGTTAGCTATCTTCTTCAACAAAAGCTTAAGCACCAGCAAAGTTTAATGATTTAGGTTTTTTGATTAATTTAGATACATTTGTCTTTCTATATAGTTGATCGGTTAAGTACATCATGTGCAAAGACACTATATTTCCACTCACTTATCATAGCACAGCTTCTACTGTTTCATACCTATTCAGAAATTTTTGTTTGCCACTTTTACACTGCTTTGGAGACATATCTTGAAGAAAGATTTTAACATCCCCCTAAAAAAAATTGCAATCAAATTGGAAACTACTGAAACTGAATAAATGACAGTGCTGGAAAGCTTCCACAATTCTTACCTTATGAGAATATTTTCTTAACCTAGCTTCTACAGTAACCTCTCTAGCTTTTCACGAGTGTAACAGACAAGAAATTCTTTGAAATCCAAACAGTTCTATGACTTCAGAACGGTATCTCATATAGCACTGCTCATGAACTACTAGCTTGAATAAAACTGATTTAATTCTGAAATCCTGGAACTTTGTTTGAAACAACAAAGTCTTATGGGTTTAAGTTAAAAAATAATACATCACCCCAGATAATGGGAAAACTCCTGCAACCACAGAAAAAAAAACTGAGAAAATTTTATTTCTTATAATTAGCATCAGCTATTTGGTTTCTCAGAAATACAGAACACAGAGCAGTCTTTCTGTTGAGTCCATCTCGCCATTATGTAACTCGGTTGCATTTTAATTCTTAGCTATGAGCAACAGATTAGAATGCTAAGAAAGAGATTTTATAATTAAAAATGAAATAACCTAGAATGTTCATAAAGGTAGAAACTTTTAGTAGTTACTGTAATGACACAATGCAACTATTCAGTGCATTGACAATTTGGTGAATTTCTATATAAACAATTAAAGTTGGTGATGCTGACACAGCTTAGACAGGATATAAAGCAGAAATGTCAATCATCAATGATTTTAAAAAGCTGAAATGTCTTAATTCACTTTCAATAATGTTGGTGAGCAGAACAGTCCCTGCTTACAGTTTTAAAAGGCACAATGAAGCCTTACTTACTGCACTCTTGCTCAACCACAACGGACTTACATCTCACTCAAATCTATAATGTAGGTTATCATAAAATCTTTTTTTGTGGTAATGACACACTATACTCACATCTCTGTTAGCATAGGGCCTGACAGAAAGTTAGGTTTCTTTTGTCCACTCGTTACATAAGGGTATACCTGCATTTTCACTCGTGTGTCCAGTTAGACACAGCAATCTGACAAAGACAAATCTACTTGTAGGTATATGGGGAAAAGATGATTTATCCTCTCTGTCTAGCCTGAAGACAGAATTTCATCCTAGGAGTTTTGGGATGAATACTACTTTATCAAGAATTACAAAGTGCCCTACCTCTTCACTGCTGTCAGTTCCTTGAAAGTTATCTTCAATTTTGGTTTTCGTATGTACTTCGTTACTGTCTTGCTTCAAATCCAAAGCGAAAATGCAACATTCTGGTGATGTATTTGGAGACTTCCCATGAGGAGCAGATCGAGGTCTTGATGAAAATGTGAAAATCTCTTTATTATTCACTTGGTGATCACCTGTTTCATTGCCGTGATGTTCAACAGAGGCATTCTGTGGTGAGGTTAAATCATGGCAGGCTGAATCTTCAGTAGTTACGAACTCCTCACTCCTATCCAACTGAATACTCTCAGTAAAACTTTCTGGAAATGCCCTTTCATCTGAAACATACAATGTTTATTTTAATGCCAAATACGTAAATTGTATTTTATCCTGATCACTCTCTTTTTCTCTGCAAGTTGTAGAGCAAAATAACTTTTTCTAATACAGAAACATTCTGCTTATCAGATTTATGCAGTTGGAAGAGTGACGAGGATGGAACGAAAAAGATCAGGCTGCTTTCTCAGTGAGGCAAGGTTAATCAAAATGTTTCCAGACCATAGCTCGAAAGCAGGCTACAACAAATTACATGCAAGTCTGCAATTTGCAAATCTGAAACTATTTAGCTGTTAAGACTTGAAACTATCCAATTGAATTTCATTCTAGGAAAAAGAATTTTATTAAATTTGGCTATTGATCTTTTTCTGTAGGATTTTTTTGTGGCTGGCATTTTAAAAAAATAACCACACATAGTTCGTGGAAAGTTCATAATATTACAATTTGCTGCTTCTTTATTGCTGAAATTCTACATTTTCTTTTATGACCAGAACTTATGGTTTAAATCTCAATTTCAAACTATAGCTCTGATGAAAAATACCGTGACATGAAAAATGTATGAAGATATGTTTCACCAAGTTTCCCTGAATACAGGCACTACTAATCTGCCAATTTTAAAACAAACAATAAACTATAGAAATGGATTTAAAGACTGAGTGCACCAGATAAACATGAAAAGGCCATTTTTATGCTCTTATTGTTAACTTACATTTTACTGTTTGGAATGATGGTATAGAAAAAAATGTCAATTTGATTGATTAAAACAAATCTCAAATAGCATCTGAGAAAAGGAGAATCGCTCAAGTATGCAATACTCCCTTATCTTCATTAAAGGTAGTGTGGTGTGGATTATTCACTAGATCTTGAAACTTTCTGGCTCCATAAAACAAAGTTACCACCAACCGTATTAAAAAAGCCTCAATAAAAAAATACTAAAAAAGTAATAATAATGTCACACTGCAATAATAAAATGCTTGCTGTCACAGAAGACAGTTAAGTTTACCATGGTATTCTACTCTTTTTAGTTTTGTTAGAGATAATTATCACTTCAGGCAGATTTAGCACCTTTGGGGAGGCAAAAAAGTCTGAACCACCATAAATGAAGACGAAAGAGAGCAGAATGAGAATGGCAGGAGAAATCGTTGTCGTCTTACTGGGTTGCTGTTACTTTTCCAGTTTACTGAAGATGGCTAGTAAAGCTACCAAACTCCAGTTAATATCCTAAACAGTAGTTTGTACTAGGAACCAGTGGAAAGTAGGGACTTAACAGATCTTACATTCATGGCTTGCACCTACTTGTTCCAGAAGAGACTATTGTTCAGTCTCTACATGAAGACCATCTATAGTTAGAAGCCCCAAGGCTTTTCAGATAAACTCTCTTTATATTAGATAATGATGCTGGTTTAAAACGGTCTAGTAGATCATCGTCTATTGTATATAAAAAAGTCTATTTGTAAAATATATAGAAATCTCACCTTGCTTTTAATTAATAAAAAACTTGAAAGATGAACATGTAAGTAATGACTTTTCTATTACAAATATTTTGGACTAGTTTTTTCAAGAGCCTCAAAAATGAGTGAGACTATTCAAAACTTTTAAGAAACCCTCTTCATTTGTATAAACCCATTGATCTTTTGTTCTGATCAATAACTACAAGTTTTTCAAAGGAGGATACTAGAGTAGAATTCTCTTTGATCACTCAAGATTGTGTCACATTCCTCAACATATTTTTCTTAGGCAATTACAATTACATGTGAATTGTATGCAAATAAACCAACTGAAATAATAAGAGAAAATATAGTACTAATAATGAACTCACATTTCACAGTTTTTATGCTGTCACTGTATTTTAATATCTATCTAAGCTACATTTTTAAAGTAATCATTTCCCCCATAAAAATGAAATGCAAGAGGGATCTTCTCATTAACTTCTCATATGAACCTGAACACAGTATTAGGATGCTCGAGAACAAAGATTCAGTAACTTTTTTTCCCCAACTGATTTTGTTACCTAACATGACTAAAAACTACCTTGCACTAAATCAGTATTTTAAAGTACTCAATCATTTGTCCAATAGGAATCTGTCCCAACAAGTCTGAAATTGTTTTGAATGTCTTTGGCCCTGAAGATGCTGCCACATCTGCAACTCCAGAAAGTGCTACGCAGAAACATTATGCCCAAACTTCAATCGGCTGGACAACTCCATTGTATGTAAAGAGATCTTTTCCCCAGCTATTCCAGATGCTAAGTCTGAAACGCTCTTAACTCTTTTCCTAAGGCAATGATATTAAAATTTTCAACTTGCTGCATTTTTCTAAACAAAAAATATCTCCAAAACTTACCTAGCTAAGATTTTTTTATTATTATTTTTTGCAATTTTTCCTACCTGCAATTTTTCTGCAGTCTTCTGACGAGTCTGGCACTCATCTTTCCACAAGTTTAATCTAGACATGTTTTACCAGGTTTCAATGGCAGTGGCTTGACTAAGATCAAGATGTATAACATATGCAGAAGTATGCAGAAGGCCTTTTCCTCTGTCATGAAATTAGATTTGACATGTATCATGCTGTCTTTGCAGTTTTCAAATATGCACTAATAGCTCAGACCACTGTAACAAGCCCTCTATGGTACAGTCATACACTTAGTGTACAACCTACTTGCTGATCATCTGCTAATTTTTATGCAAAAAACTCTGAATGAGTAGAGAGGAGTGGCTTAATTTTTATTATGGCCTACTGACTTAATAATAACCAACTTCCCTAACTGCAGTCTCACCTGTTCTACTCTCGTTCTAGAATGATGTCTAATGCAGTTGTTGCTGCTTAATTTGCAGAGGTCACTACAGATAAAATTCTATAATGAATTCTGAAGCAAAACCAAAGGTGTTAAACCACTTGGGTTCTGTGATTTTACATCAATTTTGAATTAAGTATCAAAATATAAAAAAGAAATCTTAAATAACAGTTTTTGTCAAGTGCTTAGAGAAGAGAAGGCAGCTATAAGCTTGAACTCCTGACTCTGACACAGACATGCAAAAACTTCTTACACATTACTTTACTCACCATTGTGAGTAATGCCGTGTCTTTACCCAGATCAAAAGTACTTGAGAAATATAAAGAACTACTTTATTGTGCCTGTATAATATTTAGCCTGAATAGTCTGCTTTTTTAGTCTAACCTTCTCTGTAAAGAACATTTGTTTCCAGAGATGTTGAAGAAATATACTTGGGTTAACAATAAGTTAAATGTAAATATGAGTTTGTATACCACTGTACTTAATAAAATATGCAGGGGGAAGACAGAAAAGTCTATAAGGTTTTAAGATGATATTTTATGCTAGCTACAGAGCTCAGCAACTTTTGTAACCTGTAGTCAATGTAGCATTTTGTTAATAGTCAAAGTCAAATAGTCAAAAATAATAAAGTAAAAGATATGGAATGTTTTGGACCAAACCAAATCCCATTATCTCTCCACCACAAACTATACTGGAATTTGTTTTTAACTCAGTATTTCCATGTCAATTGTAATGAACAATTTGGAGTATCTTCTTAGCAAAATATGCAAATTACTATGTAATCACAACACTGCAGCAAACAAGATAAATGCAAGAATGATCACCTAAACATCTAATTAGTTCTACATAGCCAGACTTACTCTAAAGCTTCTAATTGCAGCCTAACGTTTTAATGAAGGTTTCAGCATTGCATAAATAAGATTGGCAAACTATAAACAATGCTCACTCATTTTATTTTTTCCCTCGCTTAAAAACAATTTACCTTGGTAAAGGTACTGCACATCTGCTACAGAAGACTTGATGATTTGAGGTCTATAATAAATCTAGAAGATATTATTATAAATAGCAGTGACTAATCTCAAAGGTAATAAGAACAATCACTCACGAGAGCTCCCCTCCTCCCCTGAAATTTCAATTAGTATTTACTCAAGCTAATGGCATAACAAGTGCAGTACTGTCCCAAGATCACCATAGGATATTGTTGTTCAAATGCCTGGTGATGAGAGTAGCATATGATAGATTCTTGTTGATACAACTTGTTTTGACCACAGTATTACTGGGGAGCCAGAAACCACGCAAGCTTGCACTTGCCTGGGGAATGTGGTTTTCTGTCAATGACCCAGCATAGCTGTATGTACAGTAACACTTTGTCAGAAATGTCAGGACTATGCTTTTGGTGTAGTCATCACCACTGAACCAAGCTTGTGCTTGATCACTAAGGGGCGAGATCAGCTGTTGCAAGTTTCCTGACTAGAACACTGGTCCTGAGGTTTATGGGGTTACTATCCTGACAGTGTGCATGAACTGCAGCCACAACACAAGTTATCACAGAAATCATTGGGGTTTTTTTGCTTTTATTAGAAAGGTATTTCTTTTTAAAATGTGAATGCAAATGTGAAACAATTTGGTAAGAAACAGGCAGAAGCATTTTCGTTCTCTTGTCTGGTAATGTCAGTGTACACTTCACTGGCTTTTGTAAACGATTTGTACAGTATTTTATGCAGATTTATATGTTGTATGGTGTACTTCTATCTTAAATTACTAGGTTTCTCCTTTTTTCTTAGATGTTTCTGGTTTTGAGTCCCCCTCCCACCTTTTCTGTGAACTTTTCCTCAAAGAATGCCTATCATTCTCTGAGGTCAAGTTTATCCTACTTTGTAAGAAATTCAGAATAGAGCATAGAAGACGACTTTCCTTGATGAAGAGGTTGCCTATAGGAAGCTCTTCAACACAGATGAACACAGGAGAAAGAAACCATTAACTTATCTACATACAGTTAGACATCTTCATATATTGAAAAGAAACTGAAATCTGCAAACTGAGCAACCAGTGCCAAGCAATCAAAACATGGAAAAAAAGTTTGGAGAATTGTAACTTGCAAACTCACATGATGCTTTTATCTGCCTGTACACACAACTAAGACTATGCAGAAACAGTTTTCATTCTCACAAACAGAAACAGCAAAAGACCAGTGTTCATACACAGCTTTCTTATTCAGTTGTCTTCTGAATTTACAGTAGGACATTTAGATATGCCAGACTACTGCTCTCTGTCTACTGCTTATATTTACATAAAATAACAAGTGTTGATTCACTAGATAGAGGTCCTGGTGTTCTAGATGACAAACAGGTAAGACAGTGATTCTTGCCTCAGAATCCTCAAAACTTAGGTAAATAGCAAGTAATTTAAAAATTCTTCAAAAGGCTCTACTTGCCTTAGCGTCTTGTATCTGTTTCAGTCAAATTATAAGACCCATAATAGCAGTTATGCATTACTGACATTGCCATAATGCATAATCGCTTCTAACCATCCCAGAGATTGAACAAAATGGAAATAACTCACAACATGAAGGATAACTTCTTTGGTCAATTTTGAACACATTTGAGAAGTTGGTGGCTATGCCTTTTAACAGAAAGTAACATTGCTTTTTCATAGAGACAAGGGCTATTTTTGCCCCAATGATGTACTTTCCAGACACATGCAAAGCAAGTTGATTGACATTGTATGACAAAAAATATTGACACCTTTTGGCAGATATGTGTGAAAGAGAAAAAAAAACATAAGCTGAGGTGACTTTAAAAACAAAATGAAAAATCCTGATATTACATGGGTACCATAATTAATATCCTAAAATCTTACCTGGGACAAGTAAAATTTCTCAAAAATTTGATGTTTGGAGTCTTCAGTGTTAAATTTAATAGGGATTTAAAGAATAAATTATTTTTAGTTCTTTCCCTTTAATTATAAGAGTATGGAATATTCCTTTTTTTATTCATTCATTGCTCTGGCACTCTGCTTAATCCTGCAAATCTTTATCAATGCTCAAAAGCAATTCTGTTGCAGGGTGTTTGATTTCCATAATCCCTCACAACACAGACACTTATATTTCATGTGAACTGCTTGTGGGTCCTTTGAAATTTACAACAGATAGTCCCCCACACCACACATAACTGAGATGTAAAATAACATCAGAATAGCATCATACCACTGGTTATCTCCCATGTGTTTTTGGCTTCATTTTTTAGAGATAATCTTCTACTGCTGTTCTTGTCTGCTGATGGTTGTTGTGGTGATGGGAGCTGAAAATCTGCTTTTCCACTCTCAGCAGTTTTCTGAGTCTGAATTGCAGGGTCTGAAATACAACCCAGAAGCTTATGAAATGCCTGTGAACACTCATATTGTGTGCTTTTCTTACTTGAGGCATGGAAAAACAGCATATGGAGCATTGTCCTGGGATACAAACATCTTCCAAACAGCATGGGAATCTTGTAGGGCAGTAGTAATAGGACAGTCACAAGAAAGTAAAAAGTTAACACTAGGTATGGAAGAAGGGCAAACCATAGAAGTTATAAAAACCATGATTGCAAAAGTCTGCAACGCAATCAAGAATCACTGCAGTATCCCAGTTATATACACAGCATGAAGGAAAGTGGAATATGTGTATAACCTGTGGCTACTGCCAGCAGGTGGTGATCCCTGGCTTAAACACTTACAATACGAATACCTGCAGAGAGAATGAGCATTTATTCAAGCTCATACAGGAGAATAAGCCATGATTCAATACAAATATATTCAGTAATTTATCAAGGTAGATAAAGGATTAGAGAAATGGAAAATTAAGTCCTACATTCTGAAGTCAGAATCATGCAAAAATTTTGGCAGTTTGTGAACTCTTTACATATTTTTGCTTTATGCTCTTACCATTTTGACACACATCTTCAGTTGTTTGGTGAGTACTTCTTTTGTCTCCTTGATCTAAAGGATCATTGCACGGTGAGAACGAGCGCACCAAACTCTCAATGTCTTGTACAGACTCAGTTCCCTTTCCTGAACTTTGAAGTCGGCATGATCTATTACTTTTGCTACCCCAGGTCTTTGTTACCTTGAAAGATATTATTGTATTAATGAAACATAAAAATGTAATAGCTTTAAAAATACTGAAAGATAAACATACATTTTGAATTAGGCTTATTTTTCAAATAAATGTTCCCAAATATATTTTTTTTCAATACTATCTTTTTAGGAAGCTACAGTAGCTACAGTTCTGTGTGGTTTCTTCAGTGTCTACAGTCTACTAACAGGAAGTTTTTTTACTGAAAGAAACAAAAACAAGGCAAAGAAAAGGAAAAAAAAATTAAAATTCACTATCTGGATAAAAAGACTTTTGGCTATTCTAGACTTCAGAAGAAGTCCCTTCTTCTTTGGAGAAAGAAGAAAGTCCTTTCAATGGACTTCCTACAGAACTCTACTTCTTTGGCTGGATCCTTTATTCACAGTGTTAAACTAGGAATGGTAGTCCTGATCAGATTCCCAAAACCTGCATATTGTTTGCTGACCGAGTGAGACCTGCTGTTTTCCCTGGCATTGTAATTCACAGCGTCACATGAGCTACTGTATGGCTGACTATCATCCACAAACAGCACACCGAAATGCAGAGTTTCTGCTCTGCATCATAACTGTCATCATAAGGAAAAAATATTTACACACACACAAAATATTAGCAGATTATAACAAAAAATTCAGAAAAATAAGGATTATAAGAAATCACAGAGCAACTTCAGTAGGAGACTTCTGTAGGCCTAATGCTGAAATTCGATAAGTCTGTTCCAGTCAAGTTCTGTTATTTTTCAAAGTTTTGAAATTCCACAATCTCCCTATCACCCTGTTCCAGTACAGAACCACTTCCTTCGTCACACCCAGTCAGAGGTTCCCTGATGCAATCTGGGCCTGCTGCTGCTTGTACTTCCACTGTGCACCTCTTAGAAGAATCTGGGACTGTCTTCTCTACAGCCCTGCATTAGACAGTTGAAAACAGCAACTAGATTCTCCCTTAGCCTTCTCTTCCATGGGCTGAAGAAACCTGTGCCAGGGGCTGTAGCCACCCAGGCAGTTTACTTGCCCTCCACGGGATGTTACAGTGTCTCTCTTGTACTGGAGCCCATGACCAAACACTGTACACTCCAGACACAGTCTCACATCAGTTCTGGAAAAATACCTTTGGTGTGACCCTTCTGCTTGTCAACCTCTTCCTTTGCAGAAGTGATAGCAGTTCGGTTGTAGTTTAAGCCTTCTTACCTCTCCAGATACTGCTGTACTGACTCTTCTGTTTGAAGATGGAGGTGGCCCAAGGATCTTTGATCCAAATGCAATATGTGATACATCCTGAGTTTTACTGCTGTGTATATTGCCTTGTCCTCTATTAACCAAGATACCTAAGTTAAGAACAATAATAGTTAAAAAAAAATTACAGTACTTACAAAGAATAAACCTTAATATTTTTCCAAATCAACTGATATAAACAATTATGAATACTAAACACATAAAAATTATGTTCCTTTATCGCACAATCCCTAGAAATATATAGGAATAGGAAATACACATTTTATAAAAGTGTGTCAGCACACAAACAAGAAACTTCTGGTCTGTTATACAGACATATTTCTAATCTCCTAGCTTTAAAGATTTATTTAAAAATGGGTTATTTATAAACAACAAAAAAAATGTTTTGCATGATTTCTTTAGAACTTCAATGAAAATCCAACTTGTGACAGGAAGAAAAAACAACTCTAATTAATAAATAACAGAATAAATAAATAATAACACAAGAAAACTCAGGCAAGACTGTCAAGGTATCATTCACAGCTCAGAGGAGAACTATTTACATGTAGCTTGCTTTTTGAAATTACTGAATCTACTGTATTACCAGGGCTGAGCCCTAATATTGCAGACATACTGTATTCCTGTAAAATGCTCTACCCCTTTCATCATTTCTTTTTACTGTTTAAAACATATACATATTTTTATAATTCTTTTCAAGCACAGAAAATGTCAACCAGTCTGCAGGACAAACAAAATTAAACAGGGAATGCAGGTGAGCGTTCTGAGAAAAATTTAAAAGGGAAGGACAATAAAATAGTTACATGTTGACTTTATCACCAGGATTGCACAACTCCATGTCATACCTATTTTCCTCTTTTTTAATTCTTCAAGATTGTCAGTGAATTCTCCTTACCAGAGCTGATAAAAAAGGGGTATCTTCACATTAACATATGGTCAAAATTTACAATGTCTGAAGATTTTTTTCGTGCTACAACTTCAGTGTTAAATTGCTATCTCACTTCTGAGATCTGACACCTTCATAAAGCAATAAAGTAGAAACAAAACATTTTGTGGATTCTCCTAAGAATTTTTCATAGAATCATTTAATCATAATACAAGATCAGCTTTATTTCCAGTGGCATCAAGGAATTGAAAAAATGATCACGCATTACCCACCAAATATCATAATTTACTGTACTAAGCACAAAAGAAGTCTCCTTCTGCCATTATCTTCTTCCCTTTCTCCTGATGTGACATTTGGTTGCTGCTAACAGCTGCCATTTCACACGATTAGATGACCTGTCTTGGTTTAACATCTATTTCTTTAATTTGCTGACTACCTTGGGATGTTGTTAGCTCCAATTATAAAAGCTGATTTGCATGAAAATCTGTGTTTATGAACACATTAATTGACTGCAATTAATTACCTACATCTACACATAAGTTTGTTGATAGCATAATGAAATAATATGTATAATTAAAAGTGGATGAGACTAAAAATAATTTTGAGCTTTTGATTATCAAATAAACAAAAAGTTTAGCAGATAAGAACAACATTTTCTAATTAAAATATACTTAAATATATCAAAGCTTCCATTTTCACGAAGGCCAACTTCTGAAATTTGAAAAGCATGTCTGGAAGAACACATGCTATGTTCATAAAATGAGATTAAAAATAAAGATTGAACCTTAAACTGAAGGCATTTCATTTCCATGCAGGTCAGGGATGTTATCATTAATTATTTTACTACATATACCTAAGAGTTACATATCTTTGTAGTCTGAACAGTAAAATATGAGTATTGTTTTAAATGAATATTCATTTTTTCTGTTTAGATATACCATTCACACTATTTGACTCATTTAAGTTTTACAGTCTCTTGTATTTTCACAACCCAGACAAGAAGTATTGATTTTTGAACACAGTCATCAAGAAACTGTATTCCAGAGCTTTCCCTGCTATTTCAAAAGCAAATTTATACTTAAACTTCACAACAGAACTTTGGCTTGACTCCTTGTAGGGCAACAGTACTCTAAAAATATTATTTCTCCTTTAATATTACAAAAATGGTTACTTGCACGTAAAAAAAAAAGCTGAATGTAACTTAAACAAGTAAATGTATGAAAAAATCTTACTCTAAGCAAAAATTTAAACCCCTCCTATCCATTTCAGCTGCTGTAGGACAAAGACCCTCATTACTAATGAGGTATATGAAGAGAGAGAAAAAGTTAAGAACTTGAAAAAGCATCAGCATGGTAGCTTAGTGCGGATGATAAAATCTTTATTAGTTTTTTTTTTACATATTCTGGTAAAAGCAGAAGAGTAGTTTTAAAAGTATTTTCTTAGACAATTCATATTATCAAGGTTGTTATCAAAGAAACAGTTCTTTCAAAGTTTATTTTTCTTTAGAGTTTCATAAGATGCTACACCTTAAATGCTATCTTTGGCTGTGACAGTCTTGCCTCTTACAGGATTAAACTTCACCAGTAGTTATCATTCCCTGTAATTCACCTTATTCCTTTGGCCAATACTTTGCACATGTATTACCAGAGCATTTTAACAGAAATGGTGGAAAAGATTATTCACTGAATTCAAACACTGAAGATGAGAATCCTCAAGACTGAGAAAGTACTAAAAAAGGTGGAAAAAAATGTATCTTCCTTACCTACAGCACCACTTCTAACATTGCCTACACTGATGAAGATGCATTGGAAATGGATTCTTTATCTAATTTGCTTGTTCAGACCTACTTCTAAGCTACTTCAGATCTGCTTCCTTCTCAAAAGATGTTCTACTACCCTGTTTAGTGTGATGAATCAATGACTCATAAAAGCTGGTACAGAGTAAAGGGAAAATGAAAAACTTTAGTAGGACATTGCAATTATTACATGGGCCAAATCAAAGGCTTCACCTTGTGTCTTCTACAGAAGCCAGTAACAACACAACAAAAGAGTAGAGGAAAGTGGGTGCCTATAGAGAGAGATTTCACCTGTGTATTTTTCTAAGCTCTGACAGTGAGAAATTTATGTACTTCTCAAGTTTAAACTGAAAATAACAATCAATTCAACATTTTAGAAGGGGCGAAATTATCACTTCTCCACGAAGGACATGAATCAGAGCATGCAAAATACTCTCATTTTAAAACCCATTATAACCCTCTTTAAGAAGTGCTCACATATATTCCACGGTATTTACTGTTGCAAACGGATCTACAGAATAACTTCTTTTTTTTTTTTTAAAAAAAGTACAGATTAGTTATGTGCAACTAGATTTACAAAAACAGTAATATCCTGGGACTGAGGAAATTACATTTTTGACATGTTTAGAATTCTAATCAATGAAATTTACAAGTAGTGAAAAATATGGTTTTTTTTCTACATTGATTTATCTCCTCATTGGAAATGTAGCTGATGTATTCAAAACTCAACAACTGATTTAAAAAAAAAGATTTTGTTCAACCACAAAAAAAAACTGTCAATAGCTGAAAATTTTATTTCATTCTTTACTATATAGTTACCTTAAGTTATATTTTAAAGACCACTACTGTTTATGAATAATTTTACAACTACAGAGTTCCATTAATGAATACAAACAATCTATGTCTCTTATCCTATTGCTGTTATTTAATAACTATCTCATTACAAAATTGCTTTAAAGGGATATTCATTATTTTGAATCAAAACATTAAAGACTGTAAAGACATTTGCCTTAGTGAAATTTTCCTATTGACTTTACTGCATGCAGGAAGTAATACACAGTTTTAAAGCAAAATAGCAGCTTTAGTCAAAAGCAGTCAACTGTCTGACCCAAGGCTATTTAAGCAATTTCACATTCAAATCTTGGCATTTGCTTCTACAGTTCGGTTTCCACTGATTCTTGGCTTACAATCTCATGCAGACAGACATGCCAATTTCAATATAAAAACATATGAAGTGCTATTCTAGAACAGGCCAATAATTTGTCTAACATCCAGTTTCAAACAATGGCCAAACCCAAATGCTTCAGAAATGGCACAAGATAATTTCAGTAGGCATTTATGCAATAATTTGCTTTCAGTGCAGTTCTTAGAGGAAGGTTGGAAAACCTAGAAGTACAAGATTAAATCTTCCCTTCACATTTTTGTTGGTGCTAAATACAACAACATGGACGTTACCTCTTACCTATCTAAATGACTAACTGATTTTGGAATCATACAAATTTCTTTACTTCACCAGCTTATTGTAGCACTGGAGTCCATATTTTAATCATACTCTGTTTTATTATGTTCTAGCTTACAGAAACTTTCAAATAACTCTGAGACACCAATAAGACAAGATTACCTTTTGCAGAGCATAAGATGAGGAGACTGTGCATGGACATATTGTTAGAAGAGTTTCATTAATGTAAACATACTTTAAAAAAAAGTGTAACAACTTCCAAGCCACACTTCAATGTCCATTCAGAAGACACACCTCAAATCTTGTTATTTTGAATCTCATGCTTGAATTAGAATCGTTCAGGCGGCACACAGATCTCTGAATCTACAGAATAGACATGTGTCTATGTGCTCATGATATGACAGCTAGGCAAGTGTTGTCATGTTTTAATTTAAGACACTGGAACTCTTAACATGCACTTTCACCAAAAAATCAATAATTTGTACACATACTGTATAGAATTTATTAACAGTATTTTAATACAACAGAATACCTGTTTCTTGCACTGTTACTGGATCTCTCCCGTGTTTTATTTCAGGCTTGTGAATTTTAGTCAGGCTCAGCAACTGTGTAACTTGTGGCACATCTGTATTCAGCTGGCAGGTTCGAGGTATAACATCTGTGGGCTCATATGGCATAAATGGAACAACACACATATCTAGAATCAAAAAACATGGGCTTTACTTCACTCAACACAACAGAATTAAATTCAACTTACATTATTTCTTAAGTTACATATATTTAAGTTCATATGGTTATAATAGATTATGGTCATTTGAAAAATTTGCTGCAATTGTTCACTTTTAAGACAATAAGCATGTAAATTTTAAAATGATATTGTGTATTTTTTTAGGCCGAAAAATGTGAATACATTTAAACTAAGAAATACGCACCAATGGTTGGAATAGCCATAGTAAATCAGCTTCTTTGATTTGGCAATAGAACAAGCAAAACAGAATCAGAAAACACATTTCATTAATTTTTTTTATGACTCAGCTTTTATTCTAATACTGGTACACTGATTTTCAGACAAAACGAGCATCTGAAAATGGTATCGGTATTAGTTGGACTGACATAGCAAATAGAGAAGTCCCATATATGCAAATAAAGAATTTAACAAGCTTTAACTCCAAACTTTGGATGCCATTATACTTTCATGATAAACTAAAAAGCTGTCAATCTATTCTTGTGACACCAGGCACTAGTAGAATGTGATCTGATTGTCTCTGCTTTCCCTTTGATAACCAATATAGACCAAGGTTATGAAAGTTATTCTCTACAAAGAAAGGTATCCAGAGTCAACTATTTCTGATGTTCTGATGCAAATTATTTCCAAATATTATAAGACTCAAATATAGTAAGCTAATGAATATTAGGCTCTTTACCAAGCATAAGAAGATCAAGAGGATCAAGTATTGAGATCCTAATAGAAAAATTCAAGTGTCCCATGCTATATTTCAGTAGTGGACATATTTATTTAACTAAGACAAATGCTAGCAACCATTTTTTGACCAAGCTGGTACATTATTTACCACTGTAAGACAATATTTAGTGATAAAAAACCCATATGTAACCTCAGGATTACTATGGAAACCAGAAACTAAGTATATATCAAGCTTGTATGCCTCAATATCATGGGGCAGAGAAGATGAATTCTTTCCTCTTCTATCTAAGTGATCTCATATAGAAATAATTTCTTAGTATATGTGGTTTTTCCTTTCTGCTTGCTATCATTTTAAGAATGCAAAACATACTGTATACGAGCTACTAAGAAAGCATCACACACATTGCATCTTGAAATCACTACTTCCACCACCAAGGAGATTTAAGCAAAGAACTAGACCCTCCTTATAAGTTGCAATGTCATTGCATTCAGTGGAGCCCAACTAACTGGTCCGATCATCTGAGAGGAAAACCATTTTATCAAATCATGATTGTTAACTGAAAGTTAATTACTAATAACAAAAAACTACTATTGTTTTTCAGTAATTGAGTATGAAGTATAAAGTTATTTTAATACAGCCAAATCTTGAGCTGTAACATAATTTCAAGACTTGCCTAGATAAGGAAATTCACGAGCATACAGAAAATACTAATGCCCACCTGCTGTGTAATAATCATAGAACTGATAATCCTGTAATTAGTAGTGCAATATTTTACCGTGCATAAAGTTTATTAAAACTGTCTATTCATTATGTTAACTATGTTTTGCAATTTTGAAACTAATTTAGAACACTTCAGCACATTTTAAGAACTGTTTAGAATGGAAAAGAGAAAACAATGCACCAATTGAATTAAATTAAAGTAAAGCCAGTGAGGCCTCTAACTGCAGTTTCTGCTGAGAATTTACCAGATTCTCTCTGTTGTAATTTTTTGAATTAATATTTTTTTCCAACCTCATCAATAAAAAAAGAGGAATAATCACAATAATCACAGACTTATTATTGGTTTAGGTTTTCCAATGGAAGACACATTTTGTTACACTTAAAATACTGCTAACTATCCCTCCTTAACCAGAACCCTTTTTTCAGCTGTACTCTTTAAAAGCCACAAAATGAAAATTGGAATGAAACTGAAGCTGAACTATACCTAGGCTTCCTCTAAAATAAGGAAGTGCCAGCTGTGCTTTTTCAATTCCTCCTCTATTACTGCAAATATTAGCGAGGAATGAAGTTCCCTCCCTTGGAAAATAATGATTTGGTATTATGATGCTTATTTGGAGACTGGTAAACCTTTGACCAACATGCAGCTCTATTACAAATATAATCTCTTATTTTTCAAGCCCACCACCAGTACTACTTTCCCAATGAACAAGGACACATTAGGATAAATGGACTAAAGATCACAGAGAGGTGGTTTTGATAGTTTCATAGCTCCGTTTCATTTAATATTGTTTTGTTATAGTTTTATCTCGGATTATTTAAAGAAGAAATCTTTCATCAGCTGCTAATGTCGGAAATTAAGAAAACAGAAAATGCTGCTAAGTTTAAGTATTTCTCTTTCCTTTCTCTTCTTGGCCAAAACTCGATTTCTGTCAGCATAAGATGCAGTCATTACAAGCAACTCTCTACTTGATAAATTTTGCCAGAATTTCTTCAATAAAATACTTCTAAGAAAGTAAATGTGTAAAACAGAGGGCACACACGTAATCAGTTGTCTAAAGTTCAAGACTAGCAGATTTAATATGCTGTACTACCACTTTAATTTTCATGAAATCATGTAATCTTTCAAATTGCCAATCTGATGACTAAGAAGCTGTTTATTTTATAATATGAACAGTTATGATCACGACTACATAGTAATTATAACACACCATCTTCCTCAGCTGTATCTCGAGGCTTGGATTTTAAAGTGAAGATCTTTCTCAGTTTACAGTTAGCTGAAATAATAATTCCATCCAAAGACTGGAAGACAGCTCCTCTGAATATTTCACTGGTGAATGCTACCAAGTCAATACACATATTGCACCACTAGAAAAGAGAAACAATACTCTTTAATAAATCCCAAACACTCATCATTGCAGAAGAGTATTAGTGTATAGTTCTCTCTACATGAAGCACCTGTGGAGTATTAGATTCTTGCAGGCTGTGATCCACAATGCATAACATTTTGATACTAAAAAAGATAATGCTATATTTGCACTTACAACAATTATTTATTCAAACATATCAGTACACATGATCCCGTGACTATCAGCTCGAGTGAGCTCCATCACCCAGCATATTCACAATACATTTTGCAGCTAACTTGTGAGAAAGTACGTTTATTGAAGGTTTTCTGGTGAAAAAAAATCGTTACTCAGTATTACTTCATAAGTTAAAGTTACTGCAACTTAAGTAGCACTAAGTGGTTCTGATACCATTCAGTAGACGGGACATACATGTTTTATCTTGAATTGGCAGGAACTGAATTCTAAACTAAACAGTAATTTCAGCAGATCTATAAACTTACATAAAATGTTTCTGATAAAAAAGTGTGCTCAACCACAGTTGAAAGAATATTCCCAAGGTACCTACTATTTTGCGCTTTATCGTAAACAGAGGAATTTTTGCATGCAGAGGGGTTACAGACAGCTCCTTGTGGACCGTTGATAAATACAATCTTCTTTTAATATTTTCTAAATCAGTTATCCTATAAAAGAAAAAGTAGGAGAGAACAGAACAGATTTTTGCCGATTTAATAATCCAATATCTTTGGGCAATCACAAAAAAACTATTCCTATGCAGAAGCTTTATGTCAGTGATAGCAAATATGGAATTTAAGAATTACTATTTTTACAAGATGAGCAATGAGATTTCTTACTCAAATTCAAACTTGGTGGCTATATTCCTGCATATATAAAAATCACTTTACATGCTAAATTTATTTAAACAGTCTACACACTCTGCTAGATTTCTATAGCCTTTCAGACTATGAAAGAATTCAATTTGTATGAACTGAGAACCCAACAATCTTTAATAATCACACTCGTTTCTGCCCCTTAAGCTTTTGGTACCTTGGGACACACTGTCACCCCCTAACTAGAAAAAACATGATTTGCTTTCTTTTCCTAAAAATGCCACTGTCATTTTATATAGACTTTTTGTCAGCTTAAAGGTAGACATAAGACACTGTCTGTCTCTTTTACTTCCTTAGCACACATCTTCAAATGTGAATTATAATACAGGAGTTTATTGCTCACTATTCAGGTTGTCTCACAATGACACCAAGGACACTGAATTTGAACATTTCTAATAGATTCAGACCACAGCCATGATCACAAAGATTAGATTTCCTTTAAACTGATATTATTTTTATGTTCTGTTTCCTTCAAGTCTCGTAAGCAGTTGTGTTAGTTTTGGCTGGGATAGAGTTAAGTTTCTTCAGAGGAGCTTGTATAGCACTATGTTTTAGATTTGTGATGAAAACAGTGTTGATAACACAGGCGTGTTTTAGTTATTGCTGGGCACTGCTTACACAGAGTCAAAGCTTTTTCTGCTCACACCAACAGCAAGTATGCTGAGGGTGCGCTAGATGTTGGGAGGGCACACAGCTGGGACAGCTGACTCCAACTGACCAGAGGGACATACCACACCATATAACATCATGCTCAGTGATAAAAACCGTGGGGAAGGAGGAAATTTCAGAGTTATGGTGTTTGTCTTCCCAAGTAATCGTTACACATGATGAAGCCCTGTGTTCCTGGAGATGGCTGAACACCTGCCTGCTGCTGGGAAGTAGCAGATGCCTTATTTAGCTTTGGTTGCACGTGCAGCTTTTGCTTTATTAAACTGTCTTTATCTCAACCAGGAGTTTTTGCACTTTTACCCTTGTCATTTTCTCCCCCATCCCACTGCAGGAGAATGAGAGAGCAGCTGTGCGTGGCTTAGCTGCCTACTGGAGTTAAACCACAACAGCAGCACAACCTTGATCTCCCTCAGCAGTCCTACCTTATTACCAGAGAACAGACAATACTTTAAAGGCTGCAATCTGTATGGGGAAATAATGATTAATTTACCTATTATTTTTGAACGAGCCTATTTCTAACAGATGGGTATTTCTCTGTAATTAGCAGCCCCTCTGAGAAGATGACAAATAATTACAATAAACAACTTTGTCACTACTTAGTGTTGTTAAAAATAATTACTCAATCATTATATTTAAATGCTGAGTTTTACTTTAAAATTGTGAGACTGCCCTGTAGAATTTTTTTTTTTAGTTACCACAAATACTTTTTTTAGTAAGGACTATCTGTAGCTTAACTAAAAATGTTGTCACCCAAAATTTGCAGATAAACACCTTGAAATGTTCTTAGGTTTCTTTAGGTCAACTTAGGAGGGCATTAACTCTGGAGCAAGTTACATACTTCACCTATTTTTGGCAGTTCGAGACTTCGACCAAGGACAGTACAAAATATACTGCAAGTACATAAAAGTCAAAATATTCTACTAGTACAGGTGACAGAAACACATAAGCACCTTCTTGTTTCCCCATAGTTAAGACCATCATGCAAAGCAAACAAAGTCCATCAGCTTTCCAGAACTTATTGATTCTTTCCTCTCCCTTGCAGGCAATCTGATCTTTAATCTCTTCACCCTCCTAACATGGGTGGGCAAATCAAAACAAAGTAGAAGAGTCTACCAGCTGTTTCATTTTGAAAGACTCAGAGTTGCTCTCATAAATCACATGTACTTCAAGGACAGAAACTTCACTACTGTGCCAGAGGAAGATTATATCCTCACAACTGCTACCGTTTGACATAGCAGATTTCAGAATTAGCTGCACACATATTTATGGATGGATGAATAATACCATCAAGTCCTTGAAAAGTCATTTAATCAGAAGACCTCAAAGGGTCTTACAATGCTAGCATTCTGGGCTTGATCTTACTTTCGAAGAAATGTGAGCAAGATGTGAAATAATTCACCTAAGATGATCAGCAAGTTGGCCACATAGCTAAGCCTGTGCCCCAGCTCGAGGCTTAGTTCCATCCATCACTTTGCTTCTCATACACCCTTTGATGAAAAACCTATGGATGTAGGGGTGTTGTTTTGGGTTTGGGTTTTTTTGGGTTTGTTTTTCCTCCTCCTCAGGAACTCTACACTCTGTTCTAAATCTCAACGTTCAGAAGTGCTAAGAAATTGAGGCACCAAAGAACTTAAAAGAATTGAGTAGTAGTTGCTTGAAACTCCTCTAGATCTCCTGATTACATGTAGAGCTGGGCCAGGCAGTTGCAGTAACCTGAGTGCTGAAACACAAAAATATATTTCTGCTGAAACTCAAATGGTGTAATTCTCAATGGAGAATGTTGCTTTAAATGATGCTATGACAAAGCAGTAGGAGACTAGACTTAACTCATGCATATCTCCAAACAACTGGCATTAAGAACTATAGTTCACTTTATAATTTTAGTTCAATATGTTTACATTTTTTTATTTTCATATGAACACTTTTATCTTTCCTCCTCCTGAAAAATATTAGGTACCTTAGCAATAAAAAGGCCATTAGTAAATGTACAGCTCAGTTACATTCCAAAGTGCAATAATAAATATGTTCATTTAGATAAAAATACACATATTTATATCAGACTGTCATATAAGTCTGAAATAAGATGGTTTTTGTGATGGAATGTATGCTGTAAAGAAGCAGTAAACCCTAGATATATAGTTAAAATGACATCTAAAGAAGTTTAAAATTTATTTCAGTAAATAAATTTAAAACAATAAAATATTTATATTCTACAGGCAAAAGTAGGTGAAACATTTGAAGAACAGGCAAAATTGGAGAAAGAAGATGGTCTTAAAATTCTGTAAAATAATTTATTTCCTAATAGAAGAAATATAATTATGAGAGTAGGTGTAATTTTGAGACTTTCCAGTTAGATTGCTTCTTGTAAAACAAGGGTCTGATGAAACTCTTCTGAAATAATTCAGACAATGGGAGTTAGAACATTAGAATTCTCACTTGCAAAATGACTCAAGAGTACTTGTAGTGAAACTCAAATTTTTTTTTTTTCTTTTCTGTTATCAAAAAGCACAACCTATACTAAACCTACAAACACAAGAAATGTCTGCAGCACACATCTTGATTTTCAAAGATGCATTAAAAAATCTATATAGGAGTTAATGTATTTTTATTATGTCTGTGCTTGAGTATTTATATCTAAGGGTCAGACATGTGATAGAAAAGTAATGAGACCATGTTGAGAAAAATGAGGTAGTCAACAGGAAAATCAACCTCATTTATAATAATATTCCTGTGATCAGCAGGTGCATAACTCTCTCAGCTATGGTCATTAACTGCATTCATTTCACACTTAACATCTACATTTGCAAACCATTTGAAAGTAAAATTACCTTCCAATTCAATTTTCAATTTTATTTTATATCTTCAACTTTGATTGACTATTCTCCTCACAATGGTAACTATAGTGAGATTGCAAGTAAATGGTAGCAACTACCTACGAGTACAGATAAACTCATCTTCTCAGATTACCTATTCACTTTGCTTCTGTATGTATAATAATTTATAATCATTTGTTAATGTTCAATTCAAGGCTTAAAATGAACTTAGAAAAAATGATGCTGGACTGTTGACAGGATGCTTCATTTATCAACCTCTCTTGTTCTTAAAATGAAAGTGTTTTTCTCCTTATAAATGACTTAAACCGGAAGTTTACCAAACATGAAAGCAGGTATTTCACTGATGTTGCTAAGCAAAGAGCAACTCCCATACAATTTATTAATGGAAATCTCTCTGTATCCTAGTCAAAATGCAGATAGAATCCTCTGTTAAAGCGTAACTATTAGTATACTAGTACTTAGCAATTGTAGTGCCATTCTCTGCACACAATGTGCTTCAGGAACACTAGATAGTATCATCATCTCTGTTTTAAAGAGAGAAAAACAAAGGAATAGCAATGGTCAGCTGATTTGCCATGCTTACAGATTTTTAAGTCTCCTTATTCATGAGCAGTCTGTACTTCACATATACTTTATTTTATGTGCTACTTGTAAATTGGTCTCATAGGAGATACTACGTTATTGCACTGGCTGCCTGATCATCTGAAATCCAGAGCACTGTATTCTGCCTTCATAAAAATAGACTTAGTTATAGTTGAAAATCAATCAAATCTCTACAAAATAAAAGATCAGGAAGATTGATGTGCCACCTAGATCTAGAGAACAAGTTGTGAGGAACCAGCTTTTATTTTTATATACTGGAATTTTGTGTTGATACTGTTTTTCTGGAAAGAATTAAGGAAAAATCACACCAAAGTCCCTTTAAACAGTATCCATAAAAAGGCAGTAATACATATGGAAGGCACAAAAAGAGAATCATCAAATCTGGTTGCTAGAATAGAAAAACTCTCCAAATATAAACAATGATGAAGAATTGGTGATTCCTGACCTCTCCCTAGAAGATATCGACATATTTTCAATCAATTGATCAACTGAAAGAATGACCTGCTATTTTCTCTGATCAAGAATCATTTGTTGAGTATTTCATTACTTTTAGAACTTCACGTTTCAAAAATCATTCTGGAAGTGGTCATCAATATTAATAACATATTCTAGAAACTTCTATCTGTATTTTGACATCCTTCGTTTTGAAATGAGCTCATCTTCCTCTTATTTTCAAGTATTTAGTAA